ATAGGATTCTATAATCACTCAGAGGTTTAATATTTTTATAATTAAAGACTCAAGGTAAATTGGGACTTTGAGCCCCACAGCCACATTCTAAGTGCAGCTTAACTATGCAGAGCTTTCAATTGGTTCTGCAACCCCCAACCTAAAAAAACCCCATCCAAACTTTGAAAACAATATGCTAAGTGAAAAAAGCCAGACACAAAAAAGTCAGATATATATTGTATGATTCCATTTACGTGAAATGTCCAGAACAGGTAAATCCACACAGACAGAAAGTAGATTCATGGTTTTCTGGGGCTGGGAGGAGGAGGAATGGAAGTTCTGTGTATGAGGCTTTCTTTGGGGTAATGAAAATACAAATGGCCCCCAACTTACAATAGGATGGTTCAGTTTATCTTATGATGGCTCCTAAGTTGAAAACTTAGAATTTTTCAACTTTATAATAATGTCAAAGTTATACACATTCAGGAGAAACTTAAGAGTACCCATACAATCATATGTACAGTATTTAAATTATTCCATGAGGTAGCCAGCACTTTATCATAAAACAGGCTTTATGTCAGATAATTGTGTCCAATGGTAGGTAAATATAAATGTTTTGAGCACATTTAAGGTATGGTAGGCTAAACTACGGTGTTCAGTAGGTCAGGTGTATTAAATGTATTTTTCATCTTATAATATTTCCAATTTATGATGAGTTTACTGGGATGCAATCTCATTGTAAGTCAAGGAGAAGCTGCATTCTATAATTAGTGGTGATGGTTGCACTATACTGCGAGTATAAGAAAAACCACTAAATTGTGTATTTTGAAATAATTAAAATGGTAAATTTTATGTTTGAATTTTATCTCAACTGAATTAAAAACAAAACATCATCAAGCCTATGTCAATGATGGTGATAGGATGATCAGATGCGTGAGTGGGGTGGCTTAAAGAGTTGCCCCATCTGAGCTCTCTCTAGGAAACACCCCCATGTATTTCTAGTCAAATAAAGGAGGCATCCAGTGAAACAAACACCCTGGGCACGATGGAGTTCTGAGAACAAAGGAGCCAGAGTTCGAGCGTGCTCTGAAAATACATCTTCCTGCCGTGAGTGACATAGGATTCGGTGAGAGATCTGGTTCTATAACAAATCTTGGGCAATTTACACAAATCAGTTGGAGCAGACAATAGAGAACAGGCTGCTATGAGCTAAGTGCATTTCCAGAGTTGCTGGGCAGAAGTATGTGTTCCTGTGGGCTAAGGCTTACCCTATTAAGAGTACTGCCCACCAGAGAGGAGACTTGCACAGAAGCTCCTGTGTGCCTGCAGAACCAATGACCCCAACAAATTCAGTCTCCAAAGAACACCTCATGTGTCCTCAAGTTAAAAAAAAAATAAGACACACTAGATGTCTCCAGCGTTCAAATTACACCTGATTACAGGATGCACACGAGAATCAAAAGAGATAAAGAAGGTGAAATGGGATATAAAGTGCCCTTTAAGTGTAACTTTTAGTAAAAATGTCTGAAGAATCATCACACTTGTATTGTAACAATTTATCTCTTATCTCTGATTCTCTAAGTCTTTGATTATAACCTCAAAAAATCTGGAAATCACAAGGCTAGAAGTACCCCTGAGATTTCATCTCCTCAAATCACTAGCCTAGAGGCTGAAGTTATTTCCAACCCAGCCAGATCCTCACATGACCACATCCAGATCAGCACTCAAGATTCAGAATTATCTCAGTGCCAAACTCACTTTCTACTATCCCTTGGAGTCATTATTGAATGGTCAAAAATACCAATAGATTATGTCATGTGGAAGAGACCAGAAGAGTATCTGTCCTATTTTAAACTCCCGAGAAGGCAACTCAACCATCTGTCTTGGCAACCCATTCTAGGTTGGATCCACCCTGGCAGAATCATCTCTCTTCTGTTTAATCTAAATCCTTCAAATAGAACCTTGAGATAATTGCATCCTATTTCATTTTCAAATAATTTGGAACACAGTTGTTTACCATCTGGGTTAAAGGATTACATAAAGTCACAGGGTTGTGGTGAGCAGTAAATAAAATAATGCATGTGTCTGGCACATAACAATGGCTCAGTATATATTTGTTATTTCCATAATTATATGTATTAGGATTCTGTCAGTCACAAGTGACATAAGCACAATTCAAAATAATTTAAGCAAAAAGAAAAAAAAAGAGGAAGGAGGGAGAAAACAAAATTAAAAAGGCAATAAAAGTGTACAATGGCCTTCAGGTACTACTGGATCAGATAATGTTAGCAGGGTCTTCTTTTCCTTTCCTTCCCTATGTCAGTGGTTCTCAACCTTCATAATGCTGCAACTCTTTAATACAGTTCTTCATGTTGTGGTGACCCCCAACCACAAAATTATTTTCGTTGCTACTTCATAACTGTAATTTTGCTACTGTTATGAATCATAATGTAAATATCTGATATGCAGGATGGTCTTAGGAGACCCCTGTGTAAAGGTTGTTCAACCCCCAAAGGGTGGTGACCCACAGGTTGAGAACCACTGCCCTATGTCTTTCAGACAGACTTTTGAAACTTAAAGAAGCAAAATAGGGACCAGAAAATCCAGGTGTAGTAAACCATACTTGAACCACCTTAAGTAGGTTCCCCATTCGTTAGTTCATTCACCCCAAATTTATGTGTTAGGCAGGTTTCTAGAAGCTGAGAAGTACCCAAGACATAAAATTGCTGCCTTCATGGGATTTACCTTTGAGTAGAAAGGACAGATCTGTTAGAGGGTAAAGAGGTAAAGGAATGCTAGATTGTCTTCCAGAAAATAAGGTCACATCCTGCCATATTATATCACATCATCATTAAGGTCAACTCTTGCCTTTCTCCTATCTAGTAAACCTAAGCCTTTCACAACTTTCTTCCCCTCTATAAATGTGTTCAACCCCCCCCCCCATAGGTCTTCATATAGCCTCCTCTGAGGATTTTGAGGCATTAGTTTATTTATGCTGTGTAATCTCTGTATACTGTTCATATGACATGCCCAAAGCTATAATAACATAACCTTCCCATTTCCATTTTCTAAAAGCTACTTATTCTTCTTAGACTAGTTTTGTATTAAATATAAATCTTTCTTTGGCCTTCATGGTTTTCTTTGAATGGGATGTTCATAAAATATTGCAAAGACCTGCTCATTTATTAGTCATTTAAAAAGTATTCCTCTGAGGAATTTTAAATTTCTCTTTGTTAACCATTCCAATTTTGTAAAAATGAAGGCCTAGAGCAAGATTTTTCAGAACCCCAGGAAGTGTGGCCTAATATTAGAAAATCTCAGTCTCTGCGTCTCTCCTGGGAATTCACAGTGAAGCATGCTTGTGTGAAACATTTTAGCCTGTATATTCTTATGGTAAAATTCAACTTTTCATGAAACTCAAGTTAATCTGAATAAAGTTGCCCTCACTTGAAAATATCTTGATTAGTGCTACTGCAGCTTTTTTCCACAATCAAGCTGACCCAATTAACAATGCACACAATTCTACTTAAATTAGGCACTGGTCGGACAATGCAGGGACCAACTTTCATTAAATCCAAGGTTGTTGAAGTGTGGAGGAGCATGGGAGGGGGGAAGAGCTTGTTGCTGTCACCGTTTTTTATTTTTTAAGTAATATTACAAGTTATCTGTCCTGTCCCAACTGTTCTCTCACTTCGGTCTGGGGTTCGTTCTGCTGCGGTTAGCTTCTTTTGCCAGGGCAGTAATTTATTTCTTTTAATCCAGATATAATGGCCAAATGGGCCATTTGGCTCAGTCAAATCCCATCATTAAAACTTATCTGGGAATTAAACAAAAATGGGTTTTTAATCGAAAAGCTCATCAGCCTCATGTCCTCCACCTCATTTTTGAATGGCCCTGTCCAGCTCGCAGACCACAACACTCTGGAGACCGAGGCTGGTAGGCCTCTAAGAAGGGACAAAGAGCCGCCACGCAGATGCCCCTTCAGTCCCTGTCCGGCGCGAGCCACGAAAAACACTTGCAAAAAACAGAAAAGAAAAGGACCTGGCTCTAGGATTATTATCATTATTATTTTTAAGGCCAATACCCTTATCTTTGCATTCCAGCCGGAAGGTCGGCCCCAAGCCTACTTTCCAGCCGCCCTCCTCCTCCTCAAATCGTGCAGTATCCCTGTTGCCGCCTTCCGGAGTTAGGAGACGCTTAGAACTTTTCCAGGGAAGTGAGGAGTGTCCCTGCTACGCCTTCCCGGGACCTTTCTCTAAGCAGAGAGAGACCTTGTCGCACGAGAGGAAACCTGCCAGATCCCTTCTTTCCCGACCTCCTCCCCAAATGCGGGTGGGGACGTGAGGCTGCTCCTGTGTTTATCTTGTAAACCTCAAAAGTCAACTGTACTTAGAGTCCTTAAAGGCCCCCCGCCCCGGCCCTCGCCCCACAGCACAGCTCTGAGGCCTGAGGGCTGAGTGACCGAGCGAACTGGGTAGGGGGAGAGAGGCGACCTACGCTACCGCGACCGAGTGGGCGTGACTCCTCCCTCCGGTGCTGGCCGTCTCCCCATTAACCTTCCCCGACGCCGCCGCTACCCCGCTTGGGGCTGGACCGACGGACACAATTAGCCGGAGAGTGGATGGACGCGTCCTTACTCTGGGACTCGAGTCCCGGCCTCGGGTGTGGACCCCCGTCCCCGGTTCCGTGGGCGTGGCGGTTCCCCGGGTCCCCAGGGCGGCG